CTGTGGATCGACTGGCCAAATCAGCTCATTTTTTTTCGATTCGTATGTATTACACATAAGAGAACTTGGCTCAACTGTACATACATGAGATTATGAGATTGTATGGAGTCCTTATCTCAATTATTTCCAACAGAGATCCACGATTCACTTCTCGGTTCTAGAAAGCGTTACATAGAGCTTTGGGTACTAAACTGCATTATAGCACCATCTTTCATCCTCGAACAGACGGGTAGTCCGAGAGAGTTATTCAGATTTTAGAGGATATACTTAGATGTACCGTTTTGGATCTTAAGGATAGTTAGGAGGATCACTTGCCCTTGGTGGGATTTACGTACAATAACAGTTACCAACCAAGTATTAAGATGGCTCCTTATGAAGCCTTGTATTGGAGAAAATGTAGGACTCTATTAAGTTGGACGAAACTCAACGAAAAATTGTAGGTCCTGACTTAATCCTAGAAACCGAAGAGAATTCAATTGATTCAAAGCCATTTGAAGGAGGCTTCTGACAAACAAAGGTCCTATGCCGATATGAAGCGTTAGGATATAGAGTTTACAGTGAGAGACATGATATTTCTTAAGGTTTCCCCAGAGAAAAAAATACTTCAGTTTGGACGCAAATGTAAGTTGACCCTGCGATTCATAAGACCTATAAGGTTTTGGAGAGAGTTGGGCTAGTGGCTTATCATTTGGCGTTACCTATAGAGTTAGAGCGCATTCACAATATGTTTCACGTCTCTATGATTTGAAGATACTGATCCGATATATCCCATGTTAGTAAATTTTTTATGGATGAACCATGGCGTAGAGGAAACGACATGGGAATCCGAAGAGGATATGCAACTCCAGTATGCGTACCTCTTTTATTCGGGTAAATTTTGAGGACGAAATTTCTTCTAGGATGGGAGAATTGTAACGCCCTAAAATATGGGTTAGTAGTTTCGGGTTTATTCGGTTGAGATTTAGAATAAATTTCCCTTAGTATATCAAGCTTTGGACCCAAATATATATTACTTGGGCTTGTAATGAACCCAATAAGCTTAAGAAGGGATGTTTTTAATCATGAAGAAAATGAGGAGGGACTAGGTGAATAAATTACCCATTTATTTGAATCAAAGTTGATTCCCATTAATTTGGGATGATCTCACGTGTGAAATATGTTTATCTTTGTCCCCAAAAGCTTATCTTCTTCCTCTCTTCTTTTTGTCTCTCTTCTTTTTGTCTCCCTTCCTCTTTAAGAACTAAGTTAAAATAGGAAAATTTAAGAGTTTCAAGCATCCATTTGAGCCTCCAAGGTAAGAACTACAACCTTCATTCCCTAATCTTTCATTCAAACCCAGTTTTTCAAGTTTTAGCTAAGTTTCACATAAACGAGTTTTAGTGGGGGTTTATGAAATTATATGTTTTGGTTCGTTTTATGATATTTAAGTTGTGAGGAAACATTTTTGGCTTCTTCCAAAGGTTTAAAATGAGTTAACGACTTATTAAACTTATTTTGATTAGTGAAAGAACAAGGGAATATCTTAAAGGCTAGAGGAAATGAAAAGTTAGTCCTTGGGTGATTTGAGCACGTTTTTCAGTCACCTAGCTTCAAGTAACACGATTTTAACTTGTTCATACCACATGTAGATCATTGTATGAACATATAAGGTTTGTTTGTTCATGAAAGCATACTAGAGTAAATTCATGGTAAAATTCATTTTTGATGTTTGCAAGCATGAAAGTTAGTACCTTTTGACCTCTAAGACACCAAATAAGACTTTAAAAATGTTTCCCAGTCTTAGGGGAGTGAAAGGGTGAGTTTTATGTGTGATTCTGTTCTCAAAACAGAGCACACAGATATCGGTACTAGAAGAACAATACTGATATTGTTCTTCGTGAAAGGAAAAAACCAAGTAATTTATAAGGGCAGTATCGATACCTCTTCAAGGAGTATATATGCTCGAGGCCCAATATCGATATTCAGAGGGTCAATATTGACGCTGAGTCATTTTTGAAACATAAAAACCAAATTTGGTATCAATACCAAGGTACTTTTCAAAACATTGAAGCAAATTTTGGTACCAATACTCACCAAGGGGTCAATATTGATATTGTTGGCACGGTATCGATACCCACGATGATTTTTGGCAATTTTGGTTTAATCGGTTTGCGTGATCGGGCCTAGTGTTTTGAGTTTTCTTAAGCTTCAAGTATTCAATACAAGTGAAAACAATCAAGTTAACTAATTTCTTACCTAGAAATCAAGTAAGATAAGATGACATAAGATTGGCCCTTGTATGATGCTCAGGAAACAGTTAGGACACCGGGGTTACTCTATCATTATGACGATTGTCCTTTGTTTGTAAATATCCGGATATTGTCTGTATGGTACGCATCTGATGCACGTAAATTTTGGGTCATACCGGTACAAATTGTGATGCACATAAATTCTAAAATCGTACCTTATGCTTGACTAGGTTCGGTATGTGATCTTTCGATGCACGTAAATTTTGAACCTCACCTCGACCTCTCAAGGATCCGAGGTAAACTAAGGGTTATAAGTTTTGATTCACATAAATTTTGGTTCTTACCCCAAAGCTATCACGTTCTAGATAGGTCAATATGTTGTCCGAGATGCACGTAAATTCCTCCGACCACACCACTTGTCCTATCTCATGCTTGTTATGTACTTATGCATGTTTATGACTTTGCACACCGACATGTCCATGTGATGAATGCATGTAGTATTGCATAGTTAATCTCGTGGCACTGAGCTTGTGAGATCAGCTTATGGAATGTGTTTCCGTGCGCAGGTTAGTAGGGGGGATCGTTAAGGAGCCTATCGCATCCGTACATTCCAAACCAAAAGATTTGCAGAGTATGTCTTGAGTCTATTTTAGAGGGCATGCATTCTATATAGACCTTGTAGTCGAGTCATAACTCTATTTTGATTTTAAACTCTATGGTTGTTTTGTACGTATTTTGGGGACTCCTATATTTTGTAAACGTTGAATTTGATTTCTGTCGCAATTATAAATTATTATGATGATTACAAATGTTTGAAAAGAAATTTTCAAGTTGACCATTCTGGTGGTCCCGTGTGGCATCGTAATCCATGGATCTTCGGGTCTGATTGGATTAGGGTGTCACATGTTTGGTATGGTAAAGTCGCTCAATTTTTTTTATCTTTTATGGATTTAGAGTTTCGGACGCTGATTCTAGTTTGCTCATTAAGCTAGAATCAAATATATGTTTGCTAGTTTGCTAGTTCTCTTGCACGTGGATGATATGATAATTATTGGGAATAATGAGGCTGAAACTTCTATGTTGAAAAATGAACTATCGATTCATTTTGAAATGAAGAACTTGGGAGAGGTGTGTTGCTTTTTTGGTTTAGAAATTAAAAGATTAGACTAAGTATATTTTATTTGTCAACATAGATATGCAAATCAACTGTTGCAGTTTTCTAATACGAGGGAGTCCAAAGAAAAATTAGCTCCAATGGAATCACATCTCAAGTTGAAGAAAGATGAAGGGGAGCTCTTCAAGGATGTCAGAAAATTCAGACTTGTTGGTAGTTTAATTTAATTAACTATCACACAACCAGAGATTTCGTATGCAGTTGGTGTTATTTCTCAGTTTATGTAAGCTCCAAGAACTCCATATTTTGATGCTGCTAAAAGAATTCTATGATACATCAAGGGAACTACTGATTTTGGTCTTTTCTACAAGAAAGGAAATGAATTTTCATTGCAAGGCTATACTGATGCAGTCTGGGCTGGCAGCTTGGAGGATCGTCGATCAACTTTAGGGTACTGTTTCAGTTTTGGTTATACTGCTATTTCATGGTGTTGTAAAAAGCAATCGATCGTCGCACTCTCCAGCACTGAAGCTGAATATATGGCAGCAACAATGACAGCACAAGAGTGTGTTTGACTGAAGTGTTTGATAAAAGATATTTTTGGTGCAGTAGATTCTCCAATAAAAATTTATTGTGACAACCAAAGTGATGTCAAGTTGCTTCAAATCTGGTCTTTCATGCACGAACGAAGCATATTGAAGTTTGTCATCATTTTATCTGTGAGAAGGTGTTAAATCAAATATCTGAACTGAAGGGGATATCTTCCAATCAACAAGTTGCAGGCATATTCACAAAAGCTTTAGGGAAACTTGAGTTTGAATGCTTTAGAGCAACCCTTAGTGTCATTAACCCTGAGTATGCACCAGGGGATATCTTCTAATAAGAAAAACTTATGTTTGCTTTTCTGTTTTGCTTGGTCAGTGCTTTGTTCCTGAAATCTAGGAATAAGTTGCTTAGTTGAAGTCAATAGCATGTCTTATTGCTTCCTTAGTTTTCTAAGATAGATGGAGTTTTTAGGAACAATTTGTTACGTTTTTTATGCCTTTAATCCCTTTACAGCAGATTAATAAATAATTATTTTTCCTCAACTATATTCTCTTGTTAACTACAGATTACTGGCATCTCTGTTTTGTTTCAATATGCGCGTTGAAATGATGATATATACTAACATCTAATCCAGAAATTACACATACAGACTGTGATTAGATAATGCTGATTTTCATCTCTAGAAATTCCTGCCTCTACTTTTCAGCATAATATGACTAAACCAACCCCAGATTCAGAGATTTCGATGGCTAAAATATGATCTTTTTAATAAAAGAAAGATTTATTAAGCAAAATTAAAATGCATAAATACAACCGAAAGACAAACAAAGCAAAGTTGAAAACCCAAGTCATCGTACTTACCCAATCAAAAGCCTTCAAAGTCCTTAGGTACCCAACACGCCAATATGCCCTATCTTAGGCCTTTTGATATCTTGCATGACAATGACATAAAGACTATTAGGAAATCTCTAATTCAGTAAAGTCCGTATTTAATAAGACTACCTAAAAGGCACATGAGCCACCTTAATCAAGTACATGGCTGCCTACGCAGGACTCAAAATTTCCAATTGCGCATTTAATAATAAAGAAACCAATAAAAGAAGCATCATTCTCCACCAGACTGGATTCCCATGTAGTTTCTTGTTATTGTGGAATGAATTAGTATAATTAGCTACCACTGCAGCTGACAATAAAAGGTTTGACAAAGTTGATGAATTCAGAGGTTCTGATTCCAAGCTTCAGATCAACCTCGCCTCCTCCCAACCAGAAGAAATCGGGATTAAGCTTTACAAGGGCTTCATCTAAAATTACCTGAAATCAGTTTAATTCTCCAGTCACTAGAAGCATGATGAAAAACATGAAATCATTTTTTCTGCCATTCATGGTGCATACATGGGCATGTGCAATGTCATGCCATTTAGTCTAATCAAGATGGATCATACCTCCAATCAGAAACATTAAAATTGATTTTCTGTTTCTTGAAGAAATTTGTGATATAGTTTCTCAGTTTTCATCACTAATCACCCCTTAAATGTAGACTGTCCAATAGAAATGTCACGCTACCAACTAATTTTTGAATCTTAGGCTTCCATCTCTCAGTTTACACAAGCTATCATCATGTGCTAAAGGAATATGCAGACATACACACAACAAAACAATAAACTCTATAAGTGGCAGACTAGCAGCAAATGATTTGAGCTGACATGAGGAACAGTGGACCAACCCGAAAGCGGGTAGATAGATTGAAAAACTGGAGTATATCTGTTTCTATACTCAAATACATGAAACAGACTTGAAAACAACAATTTTTACTGTTTGACTGTGCATACAAACGTGCCAAATGGTTCTAAGCATGATAAGGATGGATATCTGTCCAGGCAACAGACACCCCGGGTCCTCATTCGATCATCCTATGGGACAGGCATTGAAGGAGGTACTGTCTAAGACAGGTAAAGGTACCATTTTTACACAAAAAGGCTCGTCAAAGCAATGAGTTGTCTACAGAAAAATGAAATGACATTTTTTTAGAAACTTCCTTGTTCCCTTTCTATTGTCCATTATACTATGTTACAAACTGAAGATAAGTGCCATATTGAATAATTCCCAATGCATTGTACAGCAATGGCAGATAAAGAAGAAATAACAAGCAACACAAGACCAATATACTAACAAAATAAACAAACTTTAGTGCATTTGAAGGAAGGGGAAGCAGAAAGAAATGGAAAAGCAATTAGATGTCATGTAAAGCAAGAATATAAAGGTTTGCATAAAGAGCACTTACTGGAATGTCAGTTTGCATACCAATGCAAGTAACTGCATTGTGTTCATAGCCAGTCAACTTTATTGATGTCTCCTCGGGAGCAAGTCTCACTGAATTATTTAAAACAAGTAATAATTAACTAAATATTTTAGAGATCTCAACCTTAAACAAATCTTCCAGCCACATAAAGAATGATAGGAGCCAACATTGCACCAAAAGTTTAATGGTTTCTTCAGCCCAATATTAAAAAAAATGGCATCCTTAAGAAGAAAGCATCAATCAAATAACTTGACCATGCATCAGAACAATAAAAAACTTCACAAGCTGGGTTCTGAATGCATCTCATATCTTTATAGATGATTTAATAAAATTCAAACAAATCGGCATTGCAGTAGAATCAGAAATAATGAACAACCAAAAAAAAAAAAGAATGAATGAATGAACACCGGATAGCTTTATTACCATTCGCAGTCATAAACAACAATGCACCTATTAGTCAACAACTTTTGCATAAAAGCCAAAAATGTCAACAAGTTCTCTCTCAATTATTGATTCAGCAGATGCTGAAACTAGTCCTTGCATCCTCAGCAAATGGCAGTAAGTGAACTAATATTTAGACCAAAAATGTAACGGTAAGTTGATGATAACTTGCAATTTATTACTCCATAGCTTTCCCTTAATTAATCATTCAGTTCATGCTGAAACTAGTTTTTTTATTAATTTGAGGTAAGTACAAGTCAGTATTTGTTCAAAGATAACTCTCGGCTCTTTAACATTGAATGCTTACACCCCTGGCATTCCAGGTGCTCGAACCCGGTAACTCAAGGAATAATAATGACTCCTTTACCATTGAGGTCGCTTGGTTCGTGCATGCTGAAACTAGTTAAATGACAATAAATGAACTAATTTCTGCCCGTGTTTAGTTAACTTAGTCTCTGTGAGGAATGCAGACAGCTTAGGATCTTTAACTAGTTATGGTTATCTCTAGACTTACATGAAATGCAGACTACCAAATATAAGCAAAAAATGTTTGTGCTAATGGAAAAAAGAATGTTATTACTAATCAAAATTCATTAGCTTCTCCAAACTGAAATAATGAAAAGGAAAGAGAATATGATGACAATGACATAAAAGGAAGGTCTGTAAGACTGACAATAACTTTATAATATGATTCATTTTGAACAAATTATCAAATAACTAGGTTGACAAGAAAATAAGGGCATTTAGGACTCCATTCTTTCCACACAGAGATTATTAAAGACTTAGGACATCATGTATTAATGCATGAATGACATGTACTGGCACCAACCTACCAGAATATAACATTGAAACCAACTAAACTCAAATATGCCAGGATCTTTACACCGACCAAGTGTAATCTCTTGGCTGCTAACCTCCTAAATGCATGTGCTTTGAATCTTCATTATAGTCAAATGTTTATGTTGGATCTTTAGGTATACATTTCAGAAAAGCTAGAATAATCTAATAATAATTTCAATGAAATATTCCTGAATTTTAAAGGTGTCATTTTTAACATAAAGAGGATTACAAACAAATAAGCTTACAGTTAAATTTCTTCTTTGATATCTTGCCATTGTTGAGTGTGTAGAGAAAATTTTTGACAGTTTCAGCATTGAATCTAGCAGTATACTGCAATATGAAAGGATTTAAATGTAAGATCCTTCTTATAGGGGCATCTTGTTGATACATAGGGAAAAGGAAGTTACCTGAACTACAACAACATAATACTTTGAATTGTTCCAATCACTACAATCAATTACATTGGGAGGGGCTTGAGTATTCACCTGAGCAGACAAAGCAGACTTAGTAAATAGTATGGTAGATTAAAATGAACAAATCAACTTATGGTCTTTTGCAATAGAAAATAAAAAGCCACCGTAAAAATGGAAGGAGTGAAGGTAAATGGCTGTCATATTGAAAACTGAGAATATGCTCAGAATGCTTAGCAGTTTACAATTTTAACTCTCTGCTAACACCCAACTACCCATAAAACCATATTCGTCAATCCACATGAAACCCCTTACAACAGAAATGTTTATATTCAAACATGAACCAACTGTGAAAGAACCAAGACAGCTACTGATGTATTTTTACAGCTCATACAAATATGTTGTTGAATGATAAATGACTTCAAAAAGGTTGGGGGGCATATTTCACTGTTCATATCAGAACATTAAACCTATGATCATCCTAACAACATATTCTTTACAGAACTCATAAATTTCCACATGTACAAGGTGTATGACAAAAGGTAATATCAACTCAAAATTGCCCATCACGGGTTGGTTATGCGAGCTCTATTTCACATTACAGCCACACGTCAAGTCACCTTTTAGTACATTTAAATGCATTTGCATTTCTCCTCCTTAACAAAAGCAACCAACTTTTTCACCTTCTGAACAACCAATATCACATTCTCATGTCAGCTGCTTCACTACTTCAAATAATCTTTCTTCAATGATGTAGCTCGGCGTTGTAATGAAATGAATCCATTTTTTTAAAGAAAAGTCTAGATGCACTACTTAATTGCTTCTCAATCTTACATTTATCGCTAATTGCTTGAATAAAAAAAAGTAATGACTAGGAAATACGAGAATTAAAGAAATTTAACAGATATTCAGTATCTCAAGCTAAAAATCAAATCAGAAACTCGTTGCTAATTAAGAAAAAAATTACTAAATTGCAACTAAATGATCAATTATCAATTTGAAGTAAAATAGTTTAATGACAAACCAAAACGATGCTTTTGCAAAGATGATGGACAGAGGCGGCACCGAGGGCGTCGCGGCGGGACTCGAGAGGCCATTCATAATAATTGGAGGCGACTCTCTTGAACATGAAGTCGTTGACGGCATTGGACCGTAGAATATTGGAAAGACGAGCTTCGACATCGGCGCTGGCATCGCCGTTGGTGAGAGGAGAGGAAGAAGAGATAGGTTCAGCATTATGAGGCAGGTGAGTGAGCTCTAGCTTCAATATTCGTTCGAGGATTCGAGTCTGGACTCGCTCTAGCTCTGCCAACGCCTCCATTTTTACAGCCAACGCTAGGGAATGGGGTGTGCCTTCGGTTTTAAGATGCGAGAGGTAGGATTGTGTTACACAAAAGGATAAACTACTCAATTTATCACTTAACTTTCTTCAAAATATTAGTTTGGTCACTAAAATTTTAAAATTGTAAATTAATAATTAAATTTTATATATTGAATTTTTCTATCACCCCTCCGATTTCTAAGTAACATCCCAATTATGAGACTTATTTTTATTAATATATAATTATAATATGTTTTTATTAATATTTAATTGTAATTTAAAATAAAAATAAATTTTTTAATTATACTCTAAAATTCTAATCCCAAAATTATTAACCTCAATATCTTTTTATTTTATCCTTAAAACCTGACGGACGTTCTTCTCACAAATCCTTACCATCGTTCTCATTCTCCCTTCGTCGGTTCTCCCTCTCTCTCCCCTACCCTCATGGTGTCCCTTTTTCCTCCCTTAAATTCTTGTTGTAGGGATAATCGATAAATGTCGAATTAAGTCGAATTGAATATTTTTTTAATTATTTAAATTGATGAATCATATTTTATAACATGAATTTAACTTAATATTTTTCTAATCGAAATGATTTATTTGAGTTTATGTTTAAATTTAATTATAAATATTTATAATATTATAATAATATTTTATTGTAATTTAAACGGTTCTCTATAATCATATGTAATATATGTATATTTATTCGTATTTTCATATATAATATACATATATCATGCAGAGTCGAAAGATTCGGCTCAAACTTGAAAATCAATATATTAATTACTAAAATTTTTTGAGTTACTATTCGAGTTGTATTTTATAACTCGATTTGAATTTGAAATTTTTTCAACTAAAGTCCAGTTTATGAAATTACAATTCAAAATCAATTCGAATCGAATGGAATAAAAAATTAATTTTTTTAAGTCATATAAATATAGATATAGATTATAGATTTATATATTATATAAATTTTATAAATTATAGATATATAAGAATTAAATATTTACCCCTACACACCACATAATTTTACTTTAAAAAGTCTTGGCATAACAAAAACTTAAAACCAAAAATTAAATGGGTCTTCCATAATTATAGATATATAACAATTAAATATTTACCCCTACACACCATATAATTTTAGTGTCTTCCATTTTTTTAATATAGGAAGTTGAGAAAAAAAAATTAGAACCAAATCGTGACGATTGATTAAGATGACATTAATTTATTATCATGCCGATCTTTCATGCTTTAGAATTTCAGATTAATTTGAATATGCAATTTGCGTTCGTAGATAGTTTTCTCACGTCACTCGACTCCGATTTGTAGTTCGTCGGTGGTCTTTTGGTAGCTCTATTTCCTTTTGTGATTCATTTGTTGATACAAACATATTTGTTTGTATCTATATTTTGTTCAATTTTTTGTTAGGGTTTTAACATTTTGCTTCTTTGGTCATTGTGTAATCTATGCGGCTAATTTTTTGTGTCAATGGGTATAGGAATATATCTCAACTATATTTTAATTTACGTTTATGATTATACTTGTAAACCTTCATTGTATTGTATATTTCCTATTTTTAATAAAACTAACATCTTCATATAAAAAAATTGAATTTGTTGAATTCACTTTTTAAATTAAATTCAGTCATAATAATAATAATAATAATAATTCTTAAAATTCCAATAAATGGGTCGATATTGACGAGCTTATTGGATATTGGATTCAATTCTCTATCCCATTGATGGGCCTGTGGTTTTGAGTGTTATCAAGACTCCACCTCATTTTACATCAATTTACCAAATTCTAACTTCTGTTTGGTTTCAGGAAAGCGAAGGAAGAAGAATAGAGAAAAAATGGCAGGACGATTGAGTAACGTAGCGTCGAAGATCATGGGCGGAAACGGCATTGTTTTGCGCTCAGCTGCTTCCTCTCTCCGCCTCCGTTCCGGCATGGGTCTCCCTGTCGGCAAACACATCGTTCCTGACAAGCCTGTAAGCTTTTAATCAATATATAAGTCCCCCAATTAATTCATCGGCTCTATTAAACCAATTAACTGAAAACCCTAAAATGTTTTTACTTCTTTTTGACGCTTCAGCTTCCTGTTAATGACGAGCTAACTTGGGACAATGGAACCGCCTTCCCAGAACCTTGCATAGATAGAATCGCTGATACTGTCGGAAAGGTAGGAAATATTTCCTTGCAGAAATTGAGATTTTTTTTTCTCATGTCTATTGCTTATTCTTATGTTTCATTTTATTTATTCATTTGCTGAGAATAGTACGAGGCATTGGCTTGGATGTGTGGAGGTTTGAGCTTCTTTGCATCGTTGGGAATATTAGCTTGGTGGAATGATAAAGCCTCTAAAATTCCATTTGTAAGTAAAAGAAAGAAACTCTGATATCATATCTGATTTTGCCTTGGCTCAGTTTAGTTTTCTTTATAGCCCGTGAATTTCTTCATGTGATAGTAACTTGTAGCTTTAGCGTTGTTTTGGGTATCCTTCAAATTTCGAAAAAGTAGAAATGTTGGATATTATTCATTGAATCAAATGCCATGGCACCCTGGTTTCACGCGGGTTGTCTGCTAAGAAAAATTGATGCCATGCTCAAGTCAATGGTGATCATAGAATTGGGGATTTGATATCTAAATTATATAAACTATACATGTCAGAACGCAAAATTGAAGATACTTGTTTGTCGAGGATTCAGGATTCTAGGCCTTTCTCAGCAATCTTTAATAGCTCTAAGAAAGAACATTGCTCAAGTTCGTGATGTAAGATCGGTTTCTTTGGTTCTTGATCCTTTTATAATGAACCGAGAAACATAACCAGAAATGACATTTCCTGTTTAACATTGAAATTTTTTAGATGAGCCCTTGCCTTGGAACGAGGACTACTTTGGTTGTCTGACTTACTGTTCCACCAGCTAAAGTTCTATATTCATTAAATGTTCAGTTAGCAAAGTTAATATGTTTTGGGGTTTGCAAAAGGCACTTGCACTCTTGCAGGATAGTTTCCTTTCATCCCTGTACTTGAGGGATGAAAGAGCACTATCATGTCACCTCAGATATCTCAAATGGATTATTTGTAAATAATAATTACAATCTGTGGAGTGGACATGCCTTTGCTTTTAGGATAGTTAGTACAAAACAGCCAAACGTAAGCTCTCTGCTTCAACCGGCAAATAAATATTTTGTTTTTATAATACTCCAATTGTGTTCTCGAGATATGGCAGATAAAATTTTAATCAATAATGCCTGTATCTGGTTGAGTGATATCTGTTTTGAATTATATCTTTCTATTTCGTATATGGATTTTAATTTCTTTTGTTACTGAGACATCAATCTACGTTTTGTACGTTGTCCTCCATAACCACAATTCTGTGTAGACAGAAGTGTATTTGATCTATATTTCTTAAATTTGGTTTAAAACTATTGTTGCTTGCTAGGATTAATTAGTTTGTTACACTCTTAAAGTTGTGTTGCTTGCTAGCTACATATTTTGATACTTATGCTGATTGATTTTTTTTCTCCTACTATTAACTAGGCACCTAAGTTTTATCCATATGACAACCTACGGGTGGAGCTTGGTGGAGAACCATAGGCTGACTCGTACGAGAAACTCATTCGGTATCATTGTGTCACTCATCTTTCATGTGTTTCATTTACTTTTGGAACTCAACGGTTAAATAATGTAAACTTGTGGGTTTTTTGCTGAAATAAACATTTCAAACATATGTGCATGGCTCGTCTTGGGAGACTTAAGATTATGATGTTCGTAAAGATCATCCGCATGGTTGTAATTAAATTTTCACCAAGTAGAACAGTTTGCCGATTTTCATGTTTCAGAATAAATGACGTACAAGGTGAAATTGATATCTGTTTCCTCTGAAATCATGCGGATTAATTAGAAGCGTTTGGCCACAAACTTGATCATGGGAACTTCTAGGGATAGAGCTATAAAAGGGTAAAAATAGAAGGAAAAACCACTTGGTCAGGTAACAAGTTTCAGGTTATCTCTAGCTATCTATATTTTGTTACCAGAAACAGAAACAAATTGGGCATATATTAATATATAGTAATAGGTTTTGTTCACAAAGTTTTTTAAAATGAAATCTCTTGAATTTTATTAACTACTTGCGCATATACTGTGGGTAAATTTTACTGATGTAAAATAAATCGTTAGTAAAATAAATAAATAAACACATAAAATTTATAAATTATATTATCTTAGTCGGTGTGATTGATTTCTACACACATCTATTAAAGAATTCATATGTTATTACATATGAAAAAATACTTCTATAAAAAATATATATGTATTGTATATGGTTATAAAAACTATTTAATTTAGAATTAAATAATATCATAATATTAAAAATATTTATAATTAAATTTGAACGGAAACTTAAAAGTTTGATTCAACTTAACTCAAAATTTATAAATTTGACTCGATCTGACTCGTATTTTATAAATTTGATTTGACTTGAAAAAATTTAAGTTAACTTTGAGTTATAAAATAAGACTTGTTAATTTGAATAAGTCAAATTTTTTTGACTCGATTCAATTGAATGCTTAACCTACTAATGGTGAAATCATAACCTAAATGTCATTTGAGTTTATTGGCTTTTAAAGCGTGTTTTACATGTTTTATGATTATGTGAGTTAAAGACTTAGCAAGTATGATAGTCCACACATGTTTTAAATCAGTTTCCAATGCTGAGCATCTTTGGGTTGCACATGACTTGAGGATCATTTTTTATGGGTCGGGAGGTTTTCAAGTATAATTTTCCAATTTTCTGACATGGGTGTCGAAATCGATGAAGGGGTTTCAAAAGCAAAATTTTAGTACCTAAATTAAGTATATGGGTTTTAATAAGGTTTTTTTACGCATTATCTCATGCAGGTAAATTAATTGGCCCAATAAGTCCGTCAATAATTTTTTTTACAATCTATGGTAAATGCTACAACGAAGTATAAACTTATCAAGTCGAGGTGACGAGTTTAATAAAAAAAATATTTTTTAATGATCCAAGGTCTATGAGCCCCATGTGGGCTAATATTATAATATATTTTTCAAAACTCATCATTTCGGAGTGACGGGCATTGTTTAAAGTTAATTTTGTTTTTTTTTAATTTAGTAATTGTTTTAAAAATTAAAAAAAAATTAGGGAACTCATGAAGTCGAGATGATGAGTTTGTGTTGAACTAAAAAAAACTAGTCGTTTACAATTGTTGTGCAACAGGAAACTGCAACGATCAAATATCAACGGTCAAGGCAAAACTCATCACCTCAAGATGAAAAATTCGGTGTAATTTTTGAAAAATATAGGCATTGGGTTTGGGTTATAAATAAGAGTTTGGGGTTTAGAGTTTTTATTTATATATTGTTAAGCAAAAAATTGAGAAAAATCATAGTTTTTGAAGAATTCCCGAAAATTTTCTATCTGAGATGAAATGTTACGCCTTTATGCTGTCCGTATTTCTTTGGTCAAACTCGGTCCCAAAGAAGAATGGGAAATTCGCTAACGAGGAATGACACTGAGAAATCTGCATAAGTGGATTATTATATATATACAACAATCTGGGTTGTATCCAGCCACATTTTTGTGTGGTTTTAAGGTGAACCCGTCATTAATTTGATTTTTGATTGAACGTTGGAGGCCCAAGATGCATACTTTCAATTTTCAGAGCGGTAAAGCGACGATTACATTGGAAAATGTCACTTACCAACTCGATGTTCTGGTTAATGATGCGTCATTAGTGAGGCATAACGATTTCAACTGATTCACTATTGTTCACCAAGTTTTTTGAAAGATGCCACCACCAAAGATATTAGACGAATATCGAATACAAATCACTTGGTTGGAGTTCGAATATAATGTGACTAATTACTCTAACGAGGAGGAGGTCATATTACAGCCCGAGCGTATCTTTTCCAATTAATTATACTTATTACCGGATAAATCTGGTAATTTGGCGCACATTCAATATATTTCGATATTGGAGAATTTTATTGAGTGTTGCAACACTAGTTGGGGCGCGACCATTTTGACATTTTTATATCGGGAACTTTGCAAAGTTACAATAATCGAAAGGGGTCAAAAAGTCGATGTTGTTGGTTTTCTAGTCTTGCTACAATCTTGGGTGTGGTACCAGTTCTCGTTTTTTACGCCAATTACATCAGCTCTCAAGATCAAGTTATCATGTGCAAATAAGAAAGATATACAAATGAATATCGATATCGTTGGTCGATATGCGGTAAATTACTAACTTTTATATTATTTTTTATACTATTTTTTATTTATACTAACTTTTATAGTTAATGTTTAAAGTTTGCTTGGATTCTATATTGTGACGATGAGATCTAATGGTTACTAACACCGGGATTTTTTTGAAGGGTCGGAGTTGTGGTGTGCCGTTACTTATTTGCTACACTTTACGAATGTTGAGATGCACGTCGCAGATAGAGTGTTGCGGCTGTTTGCGTCTCATCAACCAATCCCTACACAAATATTTGTTATGGAAGCGCTCCATAAAATTGATACTCGTGGGAAGCATAAAGTTAATTTACCGAGGAAGCATGTTGTATATATTCAACAATGGAATGAGCGACATTTATATGTCCATATGCGTTTTGAAATTACATATGTTAACCTTGATTTTGACATTTCTCCCTACCTCCAAAATTAAGAAGCAAATGGGAAATCACATTTATCAACACCGTAAAAGAGGGGACAATGGAAACAAATGAATGCCAAGTTCGCAAATGGCAAGAAAACATCGTCATCGACATCTTCGTCTTCTACTTCTATCGAGTATTTTGCATCTCAGTCCAGTTATGGTTTTTATCCTCCATACCATGCTTCAATGGAGAGTCAGTCAAATTGAGTTAGAGGTTCATCAAATGCAATGCAGAGCACTCAAGCATATTAGACAGAACAAGCGGGCGAGGGTGAATGAGATCATATTATATATAGTTAACAAGGTATTGATTTCGGTATCCAAGTTGAGTCAATTACAACAATGATGGGATCAATTATCTTAAGTACTTCATCACCATATTTCAAAGGTGGATCTCTGTAACACCCTAATTCGATTCGACCCGAAAGTTCAATAGACTATGATGTCACATGAAACTATGTGAAAGGCTAACTATTTTTTTGAAAACATTTTATCAAATAAACAACAATATTATCCAAATACCATACGCTTACAAAATATAAGTATTTAAGTTATGAGGGAGCTCTCGACAAATGTCTCCAAAATAGGCAAGTAAAACAAAATATAGAGGTTATGACTTAAATACAATTAAGGGTCTATGACAGTACATGCCCACTAAATACTCGAGATGTACTCTGATAATGATCAAGTCTATAAATCTTCAATCGGGGGCGTGTTCCTCGATCTGGCACCTAAAGATCTCCGCACGGAAAAACATTCTATACGCTGAGCTCATGAGCTCAGTGCCACATAAATAACCCTACTATACTACATGCATTCAACTTATAAGCATGATACAATAATCTTAAACAATTACAAACACTCAAGAAAATAAGTAAGTATCATGGTGTAGTTCAGGGTTATTTAGCCTCGTGGAACTCTTACCCATCTTTACTTACTACAAACCTTAAGGAAGACATGGGTCACATAGCATCAATATCTCCCTATCTCGGGTTAAGTTCGAGTCACGAAGCGTCGGTACTTTACCCAGCTAGTCTAATCTTCTAGAATACTTGGGACGTGTCTGTGTCATATAGCATCGACATATATTCAACTAGCGTTAGAGTGCCTAAACACTAAATTGGATTTATTTGAATAATCCTTACACAATCACACTAACGTCATTAAGTAACTCGGGTGTTCTTGTCATTTTTCGAGCATCAACGAAAGGCATAAATATTATGGAATCTTACCTCATTAAGACCTTATGTTATCATACAATTATTAAGCTTACCACTTGTATTCTTATGAAGAGTATACCCCCTTGAAGGAACCCAACTCACCATTATGAAATTAGCTAGCAAAATTGCCCAACATTTCACGTGGGCATCGATACTCGCCTGGAAGTATCGATACTCACCATCCTTAGTTCAATACTCCCTTGAGTATCGATACTAAAATTGCATTCGATGTTTCAGAAATACCCCAGTATCGATACCCCTATAGAGAGTATCGATATTACCCCTTTGGTATCGATACTCCTTTGAGTATCAGTACCAAATTTGGCTACTGAAATCCGATTTGGGTCATCGAGTATCGATACTAACCCCTGGGTATCAACACCGCATGATCAGTATCAATACTATCCTCCATGTTGAATATCAATACTATCCTCATAACATTTAAATTTTTGCTCTTCCACAAAGGGAAGTACCAGTATTGTTCATCCAGTACTGATACCCCTTCCTTAAGAAACCCTATTTCACTCACTTAAAGTCCCCCAAATTGATCCTAAAGAGTCTTTAAGAACCCCAAGTGATTTGTAAATCTTATTTAGTCCATAAGAAGCATAAATGGCCACTACTTTACACAAGAACAACATCAAAACCCGTTTTCATACTTTAAACCCCCATCCAAGTGCACTCAAAGGTTTATACACCCAAACTTACATCGAAGTTATACATATTGATCTACAAACAGTAAGGTAGGGTTAGAAATGTGTTACCTTGCACTTAGGAGTTGTAAGAACAACTCCATGCTCACCCAAGTGTCTTTTTTCCTTTGCCTTGACCCCTTGAGCTTTCCCCCACTTCTCTTATAAGGAAAAATCAATAGAAATGAGTTACAAATCATTTAAAGGCTTAGAAATGTTAGTAATATGATTGTTAAGATTTGAAGATGTTTTAGAGCCACCCATAAGCTCTAAAACACAAAACCCTCATAAAAACCCAACCTTGGCCACCATGGCCAAACTCTATGGTTGTGATCTTAATTTGAAGCTATAGGGAAGGTGATTTTCTTACGTTTACTAATCCAAAATGGGAATGTTGATCAACAAGTTTCCGCATTTACTTAAGCTCAAGAAGAAATATGAGAGGATTTGAATGGAAGGAAGAAGACAAAGAGAATGAAAAAGAGGAATGAGAGAGTTTATGCACGTTTACATTACCATCCTTAATTGATATTCAGCCTTTGAAACAGTTTGGGGGGTTAATTACACTCCTAATTCTCCTATTTTGATGCTTACTTTTAAAACACCTTTTTTGGCCTTATAGGTTCCAAGCCCAAAGTCAAAACTAACTATAATTTAGCCCAACATTCCAAATGGTTTCCTTAGCATATTTAACGCCCGTTCAGGTTTTACCCGAAACTACTAACTCGAGAATCAGGATGTTACAACTTTCCCCTCCTTAAAAAGAAATTTCGTCCTTGAAATTTTCCTGAGTAGAATAAATGTGGATATTGGAGTTGCATATTCTCCTTGGTCTCCCACGTTGCTTCTTCAATATCGTGGTTCCTCCAAAAAACTTTTACTGAGGGAATTCACTTATTTCTTAACTCCTTGACCTCCCATTCAAGGATCATTATCAGTTCTTCTACATAGGTCATATCTTGACTTACTTCAATTTTCTCTAACGAAATAACATGTGATTGGTCTGAATGATACCTCATAAGCATCGACATATGAAAAACATTATGGATGTGTTCTATCTCCGACAGGAAGCCTAAACGGTAGGCTACGTGTAACACCCCAACCCGTACTCGACCCGGATACGAGTTTGAGATATCACATTAACTTTTTAAAACACTTTTCTTACAAAATAACAAAACATTTGAACTCATATTAAGAAAATACGATAATATATTATTGAATTATGTTCGTTATAACCAACTTAAGAATATATACAGTTTATGAACAGTACCGTGAACAATAATGAACAACACCGTGAATAGTACCCTGCTACAATACCAAATGCTAAAATTTTCTAGATTGCTGACAAGGAACCGATTCCCTGCTACAGGGAACCGACACCCTACTACAGTACTGCTACAATACTTCCGTAAAACATACATAAACTCTTAAAATTTAACCTTTCATCATTATACAAAATTACCATTTACATATATAAGTTTAAAACATTAGAAAAGTCGATCACAGCGTTCATAACTGATAACTTATTACATGCCAACACACTTTATACCACAAAATAAATATATAACAATGAATTCATGAAACATGCACTCTTACCGTTCAATCGTAACATTATAACCTGCATGTATCCATTACACTACAACATATGTGATCATGTCATGCATATATAAAATTTATCTTCTCATGCAAGTTTCACTTCACTTTATCTTTGTATTGCCCATATGCATTATTGAGAACAGGAGGTAAATGAGTACACTGAGGTTGTACACGAATGTTGTCACCACAACTCGAATAAATTCCCACTAGGGACACTGAATATTTGTCTCGAATGACCACTATGTCCCGAATGACCACTGTATAACCCTCGACTCTTGGAATGCCAATTATACCTACAGCTCTCATATTAAATAACATGGGCTTAAATATGAATACATTTCTCATTTTTATATCTTTTTCATCTCTTTTCATATAAACACATATTTTACTTCACATGTACACATACGATCATTTCCATTATTTCACATACCTGGATTGATTCTCTTATAACGATATTCATTCATATTATATCATATTAAAGCATGTATGAATTATTCATGTACATGGCTATGAAATCATAATTCAACTATAAGAGATAGACTTATCGCAAGTCTTATCTCCATACAATTCTGTCTAGTATATGCACTCACCTTAGCCTTGCTTACTTTGACTCGATTCTAATCCTTCGATTGTTCCAGAACAGGATTACGTTCTATATCTACATAATAATAAATTGATATAGATCAATATACTAATAACATATCCTAAACTTTCATTTCTTAAACTAAAGGAAAGGTAATTTCATTGCTTATTTAAAGTAGATATCGGTACCTGTTGAATGGGTACCGATACCCTTGGCCCAGAGTTCACATTTTCAGCACGTGAATTACTTCATTCCAGCTCAATACTTCATATTTTCTCCCCTTTAATAATCCTAACTTACATACACATGCTTAGCCTCACTAATATTCATTTATTCAATCTTTAACCTCAATATCATCTCCTCTTTATAAAATTCAAGATTCATACAAAAAATTTCAACGTGTTTTAAATCCAATTCTAACACTCCATATTCCTTAATTAACCTCTTGAAAAGTCAAAAATCTTATTCAAACTTTAAAAACTCATTCATATCAAAATTTCATCTAAAAACTCATTTTTCAAATATATCTCTAAAACACTTATCTTGTTGTTTTAATGCCATATAAGCTTTCCTTTAGCTTATATAACATCCAAACTTTCATTAATAAACCAAAAATCAAAGAAACAACCAAGATTCAGATTCTTAGCTTAAGATGCAGCCCACGTTGAAGAAGAACAAGAGAGCAATATGATTTACCAACTCTTCTTCCCTTTTTCTTCATATATATCCCATCCAAAACCATTTAAAAATATTTTTCCCTAAAATTTACCATTTTACCCTTGTTATAATTCCCTATTTAATATCATACCCAAAACAAAAAATTCCTCCATAAACCACAAGACTTATCACTTTATTCTAATTCACCAACTGAATTTATAGGTTCTTACAACTTAGTCACTTACCTGGTAATTGGGGTGTTACACTACGGGTCCAACCCTCTCAAGAATCTCGTAAGGCCCAATGAAACACGGAGTCAATTTCTTTTTTTGTCCAAATTGAAACACTCTTTTCCATGGTGACACCTTTAAGAAGACCTTATCACCAACCTCGAACTTTATGTCCTTGCACTTCAAATTCACATACGATTTTTACCGGTCAAAGTTTATCTCTATCGATCTTGAATCAATCGAACATTCTCTTCCACCTCATAGATCAAATCAGGACCAACTAGTTTCCTATCAGTGAGTTCTGTCTAACACAAGGGTGTCCTTTATTTCCTCCCATACAAGGCCTCACAAGGAGCCATTTGAATGCTTGATTGGTATCTATTGTTGTAGGCGAACTCAACCAAAAAAAGATGATCCATTTTCCCTCGAGGTCTATCACTGAACATCAGAGAATATCCTCTAAAATTTGAATCACACACTTTGACTGACTATCAGCCTGCGGATGGAAGGGAATGTTAAAATATAGTCGGGTACCCAAAGCCTCATGAAGCACCTTACAGAACTTCAATGTAAAACGTGAATCTCAATAAGAGATGATCGATATTGGCACCTCATGCAGTCTCACTATCTCATGGATGTACAGCCTAACCAATCTCTCTAGGGTGAAGTCCATGAGAACCGGTAGAAAATGAGCGAACTTGGTCAATCTGTCGACCACTAGCCAAATGGTGTTGTGTTTCCTTAGCGTCATAGGCAACCCAGCCACAAAATTCATGGCTACCTTATCCCACTTCCACTGCAGAATCAGAATTGGTTGGAGTTTTCCTGATGAAACCTAATATTTCGCCTTCACTTGTTGATACGCCAAGCATATGGATACGAACTTATATATTTCCTTTTTCATACCCAACCACCAAAATAACTGACGAAGGTCTTGGTACATCTTATTTCCTCCCAGATTGACTGAAAACGGACTATAGTGTACCTCTCCAAGGATCTTGTCTCATAAATCACTAACTAACGGAACACACAACCGTCCTTGAAAATACAACACATCGCCACCCTTAAGCGTAAAACTCAACGCCTCATCTCAACGATTCTGTTCAACCTTGGCTATCAAGCCGGTGTCGGTCCTTTGAAGTTCTTTGACTTCCTTAACTAGTTCAGGCTTTACTTGCAACTCAGCTAATTATCCCCCATCGCCAGTTAAACTCAAGCACGCAAGTCAATCTTGAAGACCGGACACTGTCTTCTATCTTAGAGTATAGGCTACTACATTCGCTATACTTCACTACAGCAAAATGGGTTTATAGTGGCATTTTTAGTAGTGTTTTTAGAATAAACGACACAAAATAACAAATTTTGGGGTGTTTTAAGCAAAAACACCATTAAATACTCATACTTTAGTGGTGTTTTTATATAAACGCCGCTAAAGATTATACTTTAGTGGCATTTGTATACAAATGCAGCTAAAGACTCGTACTTTAGTGGTGTTTTTATACAAACGCCACTATAGACTTGTACTTTAGTGGCGTTTCTATACAAACATCGTTAACCACTCGTACTTTAGTGGCGTTTTTATACAAATGCCGCTAACCAATCATACTTTAGTGGCGTTTTTATACAAACACCGCTAAAGACTCGTACTTTAGCGGCATTTTTATAAAAACGCCGCTAAAGACTCTTACTTTAGTGGCATTTTTATACAAACGCCGTAATAGGACACATATATAATGGCGTTTTTGAAAAAATACAATAAGAAATTCATACTGTAATGGCGTTGTTTTGAATAAACGCCACAATTTATCAGTACATTAATGGCGTTTGTAAATACAAACGCCGCAAGTTTACAATTTCTAAGTCCCGCGCCCCTTTAACCCTTTTTCATTTTTTCTCCTTCACCTATTTTTTCATTCCCGCCGTTTACATCTTCTTCCGCTTCTGTTCATGCTCTGACAACTCTGTCTTCCGCGGCATCTCCTTCTCTCCTCCCATCCCCCGCCGTGATCTAGTCTTCGTCGTCAACCTCGAGGTTTTTCTTCTTTGTCCCACTTTTTTGTTTGTTTTCCGAGAAAATGTCTTGCTTCCCGGATTTCTTATGGTTGTTTGAATGAGGGATTTGGAGCAAGTTAAACGAGGTAATTTCGGTCGTCTTTGATTATGTCATCTTTACTAGCTAGCTTTTGTTGTAGTCACTCCGACTTTTTAGTGCTTAGAAATGTATTTTTCCCCTTTTTTTATTCAAAAAAGACTTTTAAAAAAAATAATATTTAAAGCCATCAATGTTTATAGTATATTCGAATTGATTTTTTAAAAAATTAGATATATCCATTTACTCTAAAATCTTTTATTTTAATTTCGTTGCTAGAATATGACATCACTCATACAACTGAATTTCCAAACCAGATAAGATGTGTTACATGAGTACTCACCTATTAAAATTGGCTTTAATTTAATAGTTTGAGTTATGAGGCAAAATAATTGAGGGTATTTTATACTGTGTATGCTAGATGACAAAATACACCCGTGTGATTAAATATATCAAATAATTAAAAATATATATTTATCTAATTTTGAACTTTAAACTTAATTATTTTAAATATATCAATTAATTAAAATTTTAAAAAAATATGTATTTAGAAACTCATACTAGGTGTAACTTTTCGTGAATATTCAAACAAACAATTGAAGGATCTTAGACCGCATCGATGAGAAATACATAATATTAATTAAAAATAAAGAAAAAGAAAAAAAATATCTTAGAATTAAATTAAAATTAAGTGTATAATATTTGCTACGTTAGAAAAAATGATAATTTAATTATTTAAGTTACAACTTACAAATCTGGAGCAAAACCATCAACTAATTAATGTTCTAATTCGAGAAAACAATTGCTAAAAAAGTTAGATAGGATGTAAACCAAAGAATGAGGTTTCACATGTTCGAAAAAGAACACTGCAACAGCAAAATGCAAACCCTAGCTAGCTCGTTAATGACTTCTGCTATGTCACAGTCACAGTCACTGTACCATCTGCTGATCTTAAGACTGTAAATGAGTCGAGTGAAGCTCGAGTATTAACTCGAAAACTTTAACTATACTCGAAATCTTGTGAGTCTAAAATTTTCAAGCTCAACTCAAACTCGAAATTATAAACTAAATCTCTAAAAGCTCGAAATAAAAAAAAAATCTTAAACTTAACTCGATTGAAACTTCAAACTTAAACCTTAAATATATGAAAACCTTATATTGTATTTTTCAAAAAAACAACACATAAATTGTTAATATTATTAAGATTTTATTTTTTAAAAAAATAAAATCTTAATATATTATATTTTCGAACTGTTCGTGAGCTTTTAGAATCGAATATCAAGTATCTCATTTCAACTCACTAAAGACTCGAGTCGAACTCGAACTCGAATCAAGTATTTATCAAATTTTGATCGAATTAATCTTAAATAACTCATAATATGTATCGTCTCATTTTCTGTACTAACTGATCTCAAAAATAAGCATAATTTGGCGGTATAATATTCAGTTCGACAATTAAAGGCTAAAGCAGAATTTTTTTTTTTTTTTTGCTTTCTTTTATCAACGCATAATCATTTGCTAATTAATATATATATATATTAAAACGGAATTGCAGAACAAGTCTAACCCAAGGTAAAACTAAAGCCTACAGGCGAACGGCGTTCAAAACGATGGAAAATAGTATAGGAAAGAAGCAGACAAACAGTAGGTCCTAGAATTCTGGGAGACTGAACCTGCTGCTGCTCAGAAATCAACACGGATTCAAACTGAGCTCAATAGTCACGGATAGGACATTGTATTTTGCAAAGAACCTACACCGTTCCAAAATCTTCAATTTATTTTTCAACTTCGTCTCTTGGAATTCGAATCCTCAGTTTTTTTCCCAGGTACGTATGTAGGGGACTAGTTGTTAACAGTCACGGGTTACAGTACTTTCACGTAAAGTTCAGTTATATATAGTTTTGCTTTGATCCAATCCCTATCAAAACTCAAGGGTAACACTCTTTGAACCCTAAGTCATGGCTTGGAAGATTACAGCCATGGTTTTGATCTTATTGATTTTCATGTTTGTATCGTTGCCACCCATTTACGCTTGTACGCCTTGCACGCATCCACAGTTCCCTCCCCCATACCACCGGCTAAAACACCCTGGTAACCCCAAAATAAAGCATCCACCAAAACATGGAGGCGGCCACAATGTAGAACCACCATCCAAAAAGCCACCAAGGCCACCTGTTGTTGTTGTTCCACCAATAACGAACCCTCCCGTTACAATCCCACCACCTTCTTCTCCTTGTCCACCTTCTGGGGGAGGGGGCGGTGGAGGTGGTGGTGGTGGAGGAGGAGGCGGAGGAGGAGGTGGAGGTGGTGGTGGCGGCGGCGGAGGAGGTGGGGGTGGGGGTAGTAGTAGTCCTGCTCCACCAACTACACAACCAACATGCCCAGTTAATGCACTTAAGCTAGGACTGTGTGTGGATGTGCTTGGAGGATTGGTGCATATTGGGTTAGGAAACCCAGTGGAGAATGCTTGCTGCCCGGTGCTGGGAGGTCTACTGGAGCTTGAAGCAGCCGTTTGTCTTTGCACTGCTATAAGGCTTAAGCTCCTAAACCTAAACATCTTCTTTCCCCTCGTTCTTCAAGCTTTAATAACGTGTGGCAAAAATCCTCCTCCTGGCTTCATTTGTCCCCCTCTTTAATACCCACCATTCATCAATAACGAGGCGACCGAAGAACCATTAAAATGGAAAACAATGTCTACTTTTCCCGTTGTTAAGTTCGATTAGGGTTGCTTTGCCCTAGGGTTTTCACCATTGTTGTTGGATTTTCAATTGATTTAGACTTTGGTTTTCATTAATCGTTCGAGCTGGAATTTATCGACGTTGCGTTTGAAAGAAAATTCATTTAACTTCGTTAAAATGAACTAATGATGCAGTAACGATAACTAATAATACACATTTTGGTGCTTACCTTAGGAAAGAGATAAATACAACGATACATTCACACTTCTATTATATTAATGAATTATATGGTCAAATTTTGAAAACTTCTATAGCATTTTGTTAGTGTGTATCACATGTTTATATAATTTTCCCTTAAACTAATTACATTGTTTTTTGGATTATAGTAATAATTAACATTTACACATCATAGTAGATAACATATATGAATACCTAATTAAAAAGTCAGATCAACTATATACATTCACATAAATTCTTCAATTATTTATGGACAGGGAAACTATTTAGGGAAGGCTTTCTTCTAATAATTGCAATTAGAGAGAAAATAAAGGACATATCGTTTTCGTTTCCCTTTTATCCTCAAACTCAAAATGCCATTATCATTGTTACAACTGCTAGCACCTCATTAGCATTATCAAAATAGAACTTCCTTGTGGAAGTCATTTTCCTTGAAGAAGAGTTGGAAATAATTTAGAGATTAAAGTAAAAAAACATGGACATAGTTTAAGTTAAGCCTTAATTTTTGAATAATGTAAATAAAAATGAATCAAATATTGTATTTAATGATTGAAAAAAATATGGGAGATCTCCATGTGACAGACTTGATGAATTCTTTGAATTTAAATTTTAAGAGATTGAATTTAATAAATGATTTTAATGATTTCATATTGTTGATTCAATAATTTATATTGAGATAGAATTAATAAAATTACATAAGTGCTAAAGATTAATCACATTCTATCAAAATTATTGGGTAATTTTTCTAAAGCACTTACCTCCGTCCCAAGATATATTGATTAAATTGTTAATCTATCGTAGAACTTAATTGGATTTTAAATTCTTGAAATGTAGGTAAGTGCTTCAGCAAAATATATATATATATAATTACTTGTTTAAATATGTATTAGTTTAAATCTAATAGATATTAATGCTTAAGCGACTAATTTCGATATAGACTTTAATCCTATTATAAGCATTAATCGAAAAAGATACATTGTTTCGACCGATAACTCTCTCAAATTCTCTCTCCGGATTTTCCTCATTATCGTTCTTTTGGGGTCCTCTCTCTTCACCTTCAACGATAGGGAGAAGGATTTCTTTGGCCATCAATATCGTCCTTGGATGATTTGATGCACGGTGTTGGAATTATTCAAAGGTTCCTTGAAATCTTTGGCTTCCGCTTTGATTCCCGATCTGGCTATGTGATCAGTAAGGATGAAACACAATCGATTCACAAGAATGGTGCACGCTACTCTCACGGCTACATTATTATTTTCAACGCAGGATGGATCTCACATTCGATAGCTCGATGTCTGACGGCACTGTTGTTGGATTCACTCCCTGGTAACGGTGAGTTCGTTGCTGGGTTTTATTTAGAACCTATGTTGTTTCGATGCCTTATGAGTAGATTGCTTACTTCTGTTATTAGTTGTTATCAACAACAACACTGTTGTGCATCACTGGTTCTGTTGAATCTTCGCCAGTGTTATTCCAATGGATGCAGAAATCAGAATGGTTTTAATT